CGCTCCACACGCACGTCCACTTCCTTGTGGCTCGACTGTAGGTTATACAGTGAGGAAATTTTTCGGTGCCGTTGCACCCATCGATCAAAGAGCGCCTCGTCATGTTAAGTGCTTTCGCCAGGGGCGAGCACTCCAGATATTGTCCGCATTGCGGGTACACGAGAGTCAACTCGTTGAGCACTCAGACGAGTGCGATAAGCTTCCAACTGAAATTCTTGTGGAACCAAGAATTGAGCTCGAAGAGCCTTCCGTTTGGCAGCCTAATCTTCCGTTCTTGCCGAAGGCCCGATAATGTGGACGCGTAACGATCGAGTTACAGCGTCTTTCGCTTCGACAGCGGCATCCGCAGGGCGGAAGCCATATTCCACACGAGGATCAACGACCGGCCAAGGATGGGCGCGCTTTAGAGCCGTCCTATGGGCAGCTTCAAGCTGCCGCCTCTGAGCTTCGTCAAGGTCATTGGTGATTTCACCACGTTCCTCGGTTGACGAGAAGTCAGGGAACGGACATGGGGTCCGCAAGGCGCGAGCAGGGCTCGTATCACGCTGCTGGCAGCTCGCCTTCCTCGTCATCCCATGCGGGAAAAGAAGTGTCAGTCTTGTAGTCGACCACCTCCACATCCTCAACGAGGTCACTCGTCATTGATAGCGTGCGTTAAGCGCGATGATCGTGCTCATCGAACCTAGTATGTACATCCTCCGGTGCCGCAGACGCACTGTCCGACATCGCACCGCGTGCGGGAGACGAAGTTGGGCTCTGGTCGTGCTACAAGGTCCCGAGGAACTAAATTTGTTGAAATTTAACAACTTCCTCGCTCAAAGTGTTGCACGCCCTCAGGGCCAGGCAAGTACATCAGACATCAGTTTGTTAAGCCCGTCCTGCATGCCCTGGGGCAAAGAGGAGAATTCCTGTTGCAGTGTCTAACGGACACGCGAGCCTCGTTGAGGCATGAATCGATTGGAAATCTTAATGGTGGGGGTTAACGGAGTTACACGTACCCTGGTAACAGGGGTGTGTGCCACACGAGATGTGCATGGTATGACTGCACCCAAACAAGAATACGGTATGTGGCTAGCTTGCCAGTAGTTATGCATGCATTTAGATTTTACTATATATATTTAGGATATATAGATAAATCTAAACTTTTAAAATTAGGATAAAATGATTAATAAAATCAGTTTTGTTATATGAACCGAAAGTCAATTAGCTTTGGGAAGGCAATAATTACTCTTGGAGTAAGCGGATTGCGATCCGCTAGCTCGTACTTGTTTTAAGTATTGAACGAAAGGTCGGTGACCTAAATAACGCTTCCTCTCAAGCGGCAGCCCCGCTGCAGGCTACAGTATTACTACCTGTTTCATCTTGTCTTCGATAGTATTCTATCAGCTTGTATTTGTGCGTAATATTTTTAACTTTTCTATGGTAATCTCAATATATCTTATTGTGGTAATTTGTCAGACGTTTAAAAAATAACGTAGACTATTCAGCACATCTGGAATTTCCATGGTGCTTTACAGTCCGTTCGGTGACCGTTTTATCAAAACTGGCCTGCAGATCGGCTCGAAACGGAGATACTTTGGGCTCACACTACGTCATGACTTATTTCGATTCATGTACTTTTACTTCGAGTAAGCTCTTATTAGAATATATCTTACTAGTGTAACGCAAATACAGCTTTTCTATTGGTTCAATGACATGGCTATACTACTGCTTCTTACAAAAATATCATAGTCATCATACAGCAAAAATAGTATAAATAATCTAAGCAATCCCAAATTATGCACAAAGTGAATAAACGCACCATCATAATATACTAGGTCATACAACTTCCTTAAACCGCAATAGTAAATCTTTTACTGATAGTTAAAAGCCTGGCGGCGCAAAGCGATGTATACAGCGGCTGAAAATCCGTGCACGTATTGTTCTCCACCGTCACGGCTGCTTGCACCGCAACACTTTGAGAAAAGTCATACTCAATAATATCAGGCACTGTTTGGCCCGCTCCTTCCTTGGGCTGGCCAGTGAGGTGGCCTAAATGTGTTAGACATGATCCTAATTCCAAAACTACTATCTTGTTATGAGATAGTGATATACATATATACATACTCGCGTTAACTTTATTTTTCAGATTTCCGGTGTGCCCAGCTACTTTCTAAAATTACATGAGTTATATGAGTTTGTCTGCGGCTCTATGTGAACTGTTATCATAACCTATCGACTAACTCTGATTTGGAAGATATGTAATTGGCGAGCAAATGCTATTTTCACTAAATCATTACTCTATTTTCTTGCATCATGACACGAAAGATACTATTTTATCACATCAAATGTTTATACATATGTTCAATACTCTCTTGAGATTCTATTTTCAAAGCAAAAATGTGCCAATCTACTTAGTCAATTTCTTCATTCCGATGATTGATTTAAATGCGAAGGATGTGGAGATATGTAGCGAAATCTATTTGCTTTTCTTAAGATTTGAGAAATATTTTTTTTAATTACGTTGTTATGATATTGTTTCCAATTTATCTGGAAATTGTCTAGTCTTTCTTATTCTTTCGCGACATAAATCAATTGAGGAATTTATATCTTCGCGGTATTTTTCAGCACATGTACCGACCAATTCTCTACTAATTAATGTGAGTCACCAACGCCATCAATGCTATTCCGGGACGATTGAGACAACGACGTAAATTACATTGTGATAGACCTAACTTGGTATGCGAGGATAATTTGCAAGAACAATGTTCCGCGACTTTTGCATCATATCAAATCCCTTGGTGAATTAAATGAAACAAGTACATAAAAGAATAACATCTCAAATGACAAAGATGCCTATGACTCTTCATTATGAACAACGTGACGGAAGAAACCTTCGAGACTGTGAAGTGCAAAAAAAAAAAGTGATTGAGTTGACAGAAGTGATCACGGAGAAAATCGGAGTGACCGACAAGCCTGAGGACGACGGAAGTAACGGAATATTGTTAAACTCAGAATTGGATACATTTCACTTTCATTCGTTTTTCACGCGCAATCATCATTCTTTAATCAAACGTCGCACTAGAACCTGAAGTCTTCATTTAGCGGCGATATTTTTAACGATTCCGACGGCACACCATTAGGTGCGAATCAAGTTACTTGATTATCATCCTGACTATTTCCAAATTTAGCCCTAATAATTCTAACGCATGATGATAACAGTTTAACAGCTTTCTCAAAATGTAGCAGACGACCGAATTGCGCGGTTCAAAGTCTAGAGTAGCCGTGCAATGTCGTTAGTGATCTCCACCGTGGTAAAAAGAGTGTCGCTCGTCGTATTAGCTCGCTTCACTTGCAGTTTAGCTGGTCTTGCCTTTCATGACTATATGCTCTTGCATCTTCACCGTTAGAGTTAATAGCTTCAAAATTGGGATATAGTTCTGGTTGCCTAAGCCTGATCGTTCACTTAATTTAATATCTGCCGCCTCACTTCATTCACCCCAGTTGTACCAGCCATCGTTTTTCCGATTAAGCATTACAGCATATATAATGAGTTTAACTACTATTGTTAAAAGTATATAGAAGTCTAATTACTCGACAGAATACTATTCTGTCCAGATTTAATGCTAAATATTTACGTTCTTTCTATCGAGAAGCAGAAGCTATAATGCCGCAAGAAACTAATAAAATCATTCTAGTCTCTAGGCCCTGATACTGCAATTCAAATCAAGATGACTATGCTTGAGTTGCCGATCCCCGCCTAACTCAATCTAACGAGTTATATCTGCTTTCAATATGACCCACTGTGGGGCGTGGTAAGGAAATTAGGTCAGGAATCCAATTGCACACTAAAACTACCAGGTTTGAGACCATTTGAGAAAGCAAATTTCTTGGGCGCGGAATTAGCCAACTTCGCTTGCTATGCAAATAAGCAAAGTAAACATACGTAAATTATATATGTAACTTTTGGGGTAAAATTAGTTTAATCTCAATATCGCATCGTTTCATAATAATTGACAAGTTGCTTCAGGAATTCAATTCTTTCGTGCAACTCAGTTTCAATAAAAAGACTAGAACAAACTACTCTGCACCTTGTAAATTGGGGGGCAATGCTGTTAATTTGAACATTGTAGCACGAGGTGCACGGTACATTGACTCCTATGAGTTTACAAGCAAATTAGCTCCTGTAAAAAAAGCTTTCGAAGTCATAGGACGATTCCAGCATTGAATACACATTGATTATTCCTAAAAGTTTGTGGCAAAAGACCATAAGCAAATAATTTTATTGCTCACCGTAAGCCCGACTGCAATACTGACTGTTTATTAAAGGCGTAACGCTTAATCATAGTATATGCAGTCTGCTACCTAGTATCCGAGTGCATTGAAAGGTGGACTGTACTCACATGAAGAACAGCAATGATGACTTAGGCTAAGCGTACTTTTCGAGCTGCGCCCAAGATAATGTATAAGCTTTATAGACGCTAAACCCTGTTACCGCATTAAGAAATGCATCAGATTGACACGCTTAAGGAAATAAAAAAATAGCCCATGGCTATTGTTTAATTCTTTAATGTGTCTTCGCTACACAACCTTTTCTGCTTTGCGTCGTACTTTTTGGAAAAACGTCACGCTTGAAGTTAGAAGATCCAAAATGTATCATTTCAGATATCGTACATTGCACATCAGCAACGACAAGTATGTTCAGTTGTCGAATGAGATCCTATGCTGATTAGGCGACGGCTTACGCAATCCAACTCATAGATCAATCTGAACAAGCGAGACATGGTGGAGAATTAGGCTGATGCAAGCAGGATGAAGAACACTATCGTTTTAAATGTGAAATTTAACGATAACAATTATCATCAAAAACATCTAGTCATGAAAAACAACATCGGCAGTAGAACAATAAATGCAAGGATCAAGATCGACCATGTACTTATCGCCCGCAAGGCAGGTGGTGCTTCATTAATTTATTTTTCAAAGCAACAGCGAGCCTACGCTTACATTAATAATAGTGCTGGACAGCCAATCTTACGCTAAGAAAGTACCGCTTCGGTGGACTTATATAAGCACAGCAGCTGCCATGATGAGAGTTTTGCTTACTTGGTCAAATGTGACGCCGCTCTTGTTGAGAGGCTTGCTCTGGTCGTTAGTTTTATCGTTCGTGTTGGAATGCGGGTTCTTGTCGTCATTCTTATTGCTGTTTTCGGGATGAGAATTGTTTTCGCTAGTCTTTTCGCTAGTCTTTTCGCTTTTCTTCTCACTTCCAGTTTTGCTTGACTCCTCATCCTTATCATCATTGTGAAACCACCATCGATGTTTGCTTGACTCCTCATTATTATCGTCATTGTGAAACCACCATCGATTTTCATCGTTCGTGTCAAGCACTGGGGTCGTCAAAACACGATCAGCATGCGTCTCGTCGTTGGCAAATTCAGTGGTCATGGTACCCCTAAAAGCTGTGTTTTTCAATGTCTTTTCAGAGTCGCTGTGTGCGATAACAGTCATCAGCAGAGATGCTGCGATCAAAATCGCATGCATTAAAAGTAGATGAAGACGCATGTCGGACGGAAGGCCTTTGTGCTGAAGAGACGAATTTGAAAATGTACCCTGTTCACTGATGACATGTTTATCTAGGTCAAAATATGGTCCCCGACAACTTGAAGCTGTTTCGGATCAGCATGAGCAGTCTGATCGCGAAGCAGCAGCCACTGTAAGTACAGAACCTTGGGCATAAGCAAAGCTCATATATTGTACTTTCTATGTAGGGTTTCCGTAAATTATTCGGATTTTTGAATCTGTTCACGCACTCAGAAGGTACTAACTAGCTCACCTTCTGTCTCTGGTATTCTGGAGTACATTTGATGTAAATCCAACGGTTTGAACAGATGCTTTGTTTGTCTGCTCGCGATCAGCCTGCTAGCCAGAGCTGATAAGAACGATCTTTGTATTATGTGATGGATCAAATTAAATTGCGCCACTCTTCAGTTAAGGTGAGAATTTTCTCTTATGTTCAGCATAACTTCTTCCGCTCGACTCCCGATAAGCGTCTTTTTCTACAAAGGATGCGGTTGTGATATTTACGCTGGATAGACAACAATCCTGACGAGTAAGCTAAGAGCACAGCATTTAGTGAGGGCATGAATACTGAAGTTGCCATCGATGAAGCGTACACTGATCGAGTTTTGACGACCCCGAGCTTGTCAGAATCATTGAAAATCAATGATGGTTTCACAAGAACAATCCGGTAGATGAACTTATTGAAGGCGAAAGAAAGAGCGGTAAAACTAACGTCATGGATATCCCTTTCAACAAGAGCGGCATCGCATCACACCAAGTTAGCAACACCCTCTTGATGGCAGCTGCTGTGCTTTTGTCAGTGAGATGTTGCGCACGATCTGTATCTTATTAACGTAAGCATGCCTGTTCATCGTGGTTCAACTAGACGAAATATGCCAGCTCAAGTTTGATGTCACTTCTTGATGCTGAATTAATCTACTATGTTTTCTTACAATATTTTCGCAGTGCTCAAGCCAAAGGTAGTTGCACTACGATAAAAGCTGGCTTGTAGTTATAGTAGCACAGTTATATTTATGAAGTAACTAGTACCATGCGTCATTTAAAAAGAAGAATGTTCGTTGTAATTTTATCGCGCAAGGTGCACGAATCGAGGAAGCACTACCATTTTAGCCATTGAGCCGCTGCCATTCTACGCTGAACATATCACTTTAATCGAAAACGTGCAGTGTGCCTCGCTTTAAGATATCCAAGATCAGTTTTCTTTTTACTTGCTCGCCGGTGAAATATCACATCAACAGTAGCAAAAAAAATTATTTGATGGCTTACACAGTTCATTACTTTTGATGAATGCACTAGCTGCGTGTCAAATAGATGAAGTTACGCGTAATCTTGTGTGTAGGTTTCGGCATATTGAAACATCTCGTCTTAGTAAATAATATTTGATTGCACGCTCATCTAGCTGGCTGGTCACCAATTCCGATGGCTCCAGCTCGTTGTGGCAAATGACATAAAGCGTGTTTAGCATAGTTGCGTTAATCATATTTTCATTTATGTGTCAGATTTGAAGTTTCACAACATATAGTCAGCCACTAAGTGTAAGGCTCGTCTAAATTTATCGACCGAATTGCGTCGATATCCGTAGGCTACTACATTAATCGCGGTCTCCCACGTACTCGGTGCGTCCATTGCATTTGTTAATACCGCTCATACACATAAGCTCAGTATACGTGCAGTAAGTGCGGCCGAAGAGATCACAATAAGCGAACATGTATGCGCATCAAAACTTGAGGTTCTCTGTAAAATTGACAAGGTTGATACGTCAAATCTTTCGAGCTAGAATCTTAATTAAAATTTCATGTAATGCCTTCTTCTTCCAAGACGTGTTTGGTATCTGTAGTAAAATCATTTGCAGTAGCACAAAGCTGATGCCGATAAACGGATTATTTGCATGAAGCTCAAATCAGTGATTTGACGGACAAACAACAAAATATTTGGTGATTTGAAATCACCAAATATTTTGTTGTTTGTCCGGCTCTTTGGCTCTGCACGGCACTGTCTCTGTTGTATAAAAATGACGCCTTCTGGCTGCTTAATGCATAAAAGAATCAAGTACATAAAAAACTCAATCATATTTGTTGTGATTTTCAATAAAATTTTAGAAATAATTAGACCATTCAATAATGGAATCATATCATACTAAAACAATCGCATTGGATGATTGGCCCTGTAACGGGGTTACACATACTCTGGTGGCAGGGGTGTGTGTCACACCAGATGGGCATGGTGTGACCAGACCCAAACAAGAATACGGTAAGGGGCTGGATAGCCAGTAGTTATACATGAATAAAGATTTTACTATACATATTAAGGAAAATCTGTGCATTAAAAATTAGGCGGCTTCGCCGTAGATAAAATCAAATAAAGTCAGTTTTGAATTTAAACCGAAGAGTTAATTAGCCTTGGGTTAAGGCTATAATTACTTTTGGAGTAAGCATATTGCGATCCGCTAAACTCGTACTTGTTCTGAGTATAGAACGAGAGGTCGGTGACCTGACTTACGCTTCGTAAAAATGCAGAATACGGCAGCCCTGCTGCAGATACGAAGTGAGCCGAACAGCTGTGTCACTAGGATATTGAGCATCGCTGGTTCGTCATTTATTCTGTAGTAAGCAAACAGTCCTGAGGCATCCATAGTTGGATAACTCACCGCATGGCAAGTAATATCACTTTCTGTAACGAGCAGTTGAATACTCTCCATCACCTGGTCAAGGGCAGTAAACGTTGAGCAATTAACCGACCATGCTACCTTCTCCAAAATATCGGTATTTGCACTAGATAGTCGGCACATTAAGCCTATCAGAAAATGCAAAATATTGACACTTGTATTAGCCCGTCTAACTTGACAAATCAGCGTGAAGTTACACAAATCACTCTTCCACCGTGCCGCTTTGTGTTTTGCTCGAACGAATTCATACGCTACACTTTTGTAAAAGCCATAGACGCTTAAGACAGGGTTCAGCTCTCATGGTTGTTATTAGTACCTACGAGATGGTATAAAGCCCTCACTACAGAAATGCATGGCTATTTAGGGTCCTACTTTGAAAAGATTGTCTTGCGTCATTGCTATTTGCGCATCAGCCTTTATCTATTATGAATCAAGGCCGAGTCTCCCAGCACAGATCAACACCTACTAGCGTGTGGAGACAGATCCTATGACAATCTTGATGCTTAGTCTGTGCTATCTCATGAAGACAAGCGGGCTGTTAACAGCAAGAACTAAAGGCGATGTTCTTCCGCCAGTACTTCTAGTCGTATCGTCTGTTGTACTAAAGTCGGCTCCCAAGGCTGTGAGACGAGTAAAACGACGCGTCTTCTTCACCCAGTGCGCAAACTTAAAGAGGCACGATGTTTGCAGTCGTCGTTCCCCGCTACTAGTTGATGAGCAGGGGGGGCTTCCATGTAGAGCGGATAGTGAGCAATGTGTTTACCACAACTCTTGCCACATGCAGCCTCCAAGGTTATCCCTTATCGAGGAAAGGTATTGTGATTCGTCAATGCTCTATGCGCAAGCGGTACTATCAAAGAGCCGGGATCTCTTAGGCCGGCAAGTGCTAGCGGATCAGCTTATGTCGCTCTTTTTTGCGCTTGGTGTGAGTATGTGACCCGTATAGATACAAGCGCTTAAGCCATCGGGCTCAGCACAGCGAGCAGCTTTAGATGCTTAAAAACCATAATCACTGCGAGATGAGACCAGAAGTAGTACGCTTTTCCTTGCGGACCTGCAAGCTGGGGGTCCGGCGCTTTGGTAACAACCTAGACGTCTTCTTGAGCTACGCGTCGGCGTATTGGGGCATTATTAGGAGATGGGCTTGGAATTTGTCACTAGCGCAGAGGAGAGGCAGAAAGCAAAGAGAGCGCCTCCTCCGAAGCGATGTTCTAGGCCGTATGTTCTAAGGTAGGGCAGAGGTGTCGCGTCAGGATTTGTAGAGTTGCTGCGACCGTTCTATAGTACACTCGGTCCGTGCCGCTAAGAACGACGGTAAGATCGTGTTGTTCGAAAGGGCCGCGCTATCTCGAAGGCACGCTAAGCCATGTGGTGTTGTTTATAAGCGAACTTCTGACGGTAATTTGGAGTGATAGGAGTAGAGAGAGACCGGGTGCACGTTCGGCGACCACTTTTGTATAATATCTTGGTGGACAATGGAAATGCTAGTCATGAATAAGGCTGTGGAATGGGTAAAGTAGAGTATTATATCTCTGTGTACACACACTTTCAGCTTCTGTACAGTCGTGCATATCCAATTTGAATAAAGCACACAATTTTAATATTGGTGCGTTGATTGCAAGAAAGCTTTTGGTCAGTGCTTTCTGTGTGCAAGGTGCACGACAACCCTGCTGCAAAATGTAAGCCCAAACAAAATAAACAGCAATCAGCTATCGTAGCCGTGATGGATTTTTCAAAAAAACTTTTACCCTGTCTTAGATGCACCAATTATAAGCTGACCAACGCTTTTGAGCATAACGTCAAATCTACCTATTTGTCGGACCAGAAAAATATGTTTATTAGACAGTGGTCAAGTATATAATTCGGCTACATGTCGCCAATGATAAGAAAGTCTAGTGACGTTCGACTACTTCAGTTCTCACTAGCTCCGCTTCTCAACGACAATGGTAGTCTTGCTCGCGATATGTGTATAATACGCACCGAAAAAGGAAAGTGTTATGGTTAAGAAAGTACCCGAGTGATGTTGCCTGCACGGCGCCGTTCTGAGGCACGTACCCTATTATGGTTTATGTACATACTACACTATTACCTTCTTGACTCAGTACAACGAGTAGAAGTGCTTGGCGATTAAGTATAATAATTAGACGGTGGTATGGAAGAGATTGATAAACTAGAGTAAAAATACGTTTGTGGGGCACGTGGGCTGCCATTGTAACGGAGTACATAAACTTGCTATACAGACAGACCACAAGGTTGTGTCTTG